CTGTTGGAGCCACAGACATAATCAATGCATAAAAAACAATAAAAAGAAATGGGTGAAATAACGGGTGCGGCGGCTCACACCTGTAAATCCCAACACTTTGGGAGGCTGAGGGGGGCACATCACCTGAAGTGGGAAGTTCAAGACCAGCCTGACCAACATGGAGAAACCCTGTCTCTACTAAAAATACAAAATTGGCCGGGCATGGTGGCACATACCTGTAATCCCAGCTACTTGAAAGGCTGAGGCAGGAGAATCACTTGAACCCAGGAGGTGGAGGCTGCAGTGAGCGGAGATCACACGACTGCACTCCAGCCTGGGCAACAAGAGCGAAATTCCGTCTCAAAAAAAAAAAAAAAAAAAAAAAAAAAGAAAAAGAAAAAGAAATGGGTAAAATTAATTGCAATATGGTTCACTGACCCCGGTATCTCCAACATTTTATCAATTCAGTATTAAAGACAAATCAGTGACATACTGAAGTTCTTCATTTCATGACAAAGCCTCAGGAAGCTGGTGTGTATCTTTTTTCCCCAGTGTTTATTTCACACTGGCAGCACATCTCCAGGTGGAAAGCCATGTGTCAAGGGGTCAGTTGCTACACGTGGCCCTCTGCTATGGCCAGGGTAGCAGCAGATGCCTGGTGAACCTTGAGCCACATTGTTGAGTGAGGGCGGTGGTGTCCAGGCATCATTCCCTGTGGCCAGGCCTGTGCTGGGCACCTTGTGCCAGAAGGTGATCTCCAAGGCCATGGTTTTTTTTTCTTTCTTTTCTTGAGACAGACTCACAGGCTGGAGTGCAGTGGCATGATCTTGGCTCACTGCAACCTCTGCCTCCGGGCTCAAGTGATTCTCATGCCTTAGCCTTCCAGGTAGCTGGGATTACAGGCATCTGCCACCATGCCCAGCTAATTTTTGTGTTTTTAGTAGAGACAGGGTTTTACCATGTTGGCCTAGGTGGTCTCAAACTCCTAGCCTCAAGTGATCTGCCTGCCCTGGCCTCCCAAAGTGCTGGGATTACAGGCGTGAGCCACTGGGCCCTGGCCTCCGAGGCCATGTTCTGCTGGCCATGTTCTGAAAGGCACACCTTCTGTAGCAGAGGGTGCAGGGTGAGGCCAGGCAGAGCTAGAGTCAGCCAGGCTGGGTTCTCAGCCTCTGTGCCCTGCCAGGGGCAGATCTCATGCCATGTGCTGGGGATGTCCCCTGTCCCCAGAATTGGGGCATCTGTGCTCCCAGGAGTGTTTGGCCCGGGGGATGTTGAGTGCATGGGGATTCAAGGGAGACTCCCCTCACAGCGGCCCCACACTACCCTGCAGGTGAGAAGCCCTACGTCTGCCCCTATGAGGGCTGCAACAAGCGCTACTCCAACTCCAGTGACCGCTTTAAGCACACTCGCACCCACTATGTGGACAAACCCTACTACTGCAAGATGCCCGGCTGCCACAAGCGCTACACGGACCCCAGCTCACTGCGCAAGCACATCAAGGCCCACGGCCACTTTGTGTCCCACGAGCAGCAAGAGCTCCTGCAGCTGCGCCCACCCCCTAAGCCACCACTGCCCACCCCCGACGGCAGCCCCTATGTCAGTGGGGCCCAGATCATCATCCCTAACCCAGCCGCCCTCTTTGGAAGCCCTGGCCTGCCTGGCCTGCCCCTGCCCCTGGCTCCCGGCCCCCTCGACCTCAGTGCCCTGGCTTGTGGCAGTGGTGGGGGCAGTGGAGGTGGAGGGGGCATGGGTTCTGGGCTGCCAGGCCCCGTGCTGCCTCTCAATCTGGCCAAGAACCCGCTATTGCCCTCGCCCTTCGGGGCTGGCGGACTGGGCTTGCCTGTGGTCTCCCTCCTTGCTGGCTCTGCTGGTGGCAAGGGCGAGGTGGAGAAGGGGCGTGGGTCAGTGCCTGCCAGGGCCCTGGGCATGGAGGGCCGCAAGACGCCCCTTGAAAGGACGGAGAGCAGCTGCTCCCGGCCAAGCCCCGACGGACTCCCCCTGCTGCCGGGCACCGTGCTAGACCTGTCCACTGGCGTCAACTCCGCCGCCAGCAGCCCAGAGGCACTGGCTCCTGGCTGGGTGGTCATCCCGCCGGGCTCCGTGCTGCTCAAACCGGCTGTGGTGAACTGAGCCCACCCTGTGGACAACTATGACGGCCCTGCCGGCAGCTCCTGGCACTGCCCCCTGACGAACAGAAACTCTTCTGTGAAATAGCAATAATGTCCTACTGCCTGGGCAGCCCCAGCCTAGCCCACCAGGGAGTTAAGGATGGTGCTAGGTCATTCGTGGCTGGTCTCCTGGTCCCCAGGTGGGGCTGGCCTGCCATTCGGGGGGAGCTGTGCTCCTGGGTGCTGATGCCTCGCTCCCCTCTGGCTCCCCCTACCCAGCTCTCAGCTTCTGCGAGGCTTGTCCCTGCCCTTGTCTTCCCGTTTATCTCTCCCACCCTGGCACCTTTCTTACCCAATGACTACCCCTTCTCCAGCAGAGGGTGGGTGGGGCGGCATCTGCCCTCCCTGTTGGCACTAGGCTCCCCCTTCCTGAGAGGATCTCCCAGGGATCAGGAGCCCCCAGGGACCAGAAGCCCACCCATCCCTCCTAGGCTTACCCAGCCCCTGTCTTGGGGGCTCCTTGGACCCCTTTCTCTCTGACCCTTCCTCCAGAGGGAAAGCAAGACAGATGCGGGCCCTTTCAAAGCCCCAGGCAGAAGCATGCCCCCCAGGACAAGGCGCCTCCCGCTAGTTAGAAGGGAGGCCCTGCTCCCTGCTCCACAGCCGCCCTTCTCACCACAGGCCAGGCTGACAGCACTGCTCAACGGACGCCACCTCCAGACTGAGGGGATAGCTGGCCACTCCATCCCTGCACCCGGGGGCCTCCTTCCTCTACCTTGGGTCACCCTGGGATGGTGAGAAGCCAGTCTGAGGGCCCCTGAGCTGGCAAGGGGAGGTACCAGGCCAGGTGTGGTATCAGGACAGAGTGGCCTGGGCCCTCGCTCAAGGAGCATGTGGGGCCAGACCCATCGCCTGGTCTTCCTGCTTCCACCCCTGGTGGGCCTGGCCTGGGCAGTGCCCCCTTGCAGAGGCCTGTGGGCCTTGGTCCTGCACCAGGAGGGGGAGGCTGGCTGGGACACAGCCTCTGGTCTGGGGCTCCAAGTGACAACATGCAGTGGAGGGGGCTCCTGGCCAGTGCTGTGTTGGAACTTTCTGGAGGCTGTGGACTGAAGGCCTGAGGGAAGTGGTGGCTAGAGGACCACCTGTGACACTTGCTTCCTCAGGCTCTTTCCTTCTGAGCTGTTTTCTCAGAGGGGCTTCCCCACCCCTAATACCCATCGGGCTCTCTCAGGTTCTGTGCCACTCAGAAGGACCCTGGCATGGGCCAGAACCATTTAAGGGTGCTGGAAGGCCTTGTGCCCCGTAATCCCACCCCAGGACACCCTGGGGGATGGATGCACCCACGCACCCCCCATCTGGGGTATTCCCTCTGCTCCCTCTCCTGCCGGGTGGCTGGGAGTTCTGGCTTCTAGGCCTGCCCGTCACCAGGCCTTGGAATGGCCCGGCCTTTCCACCTCCCCATCTGTAGAACGAGGCAGCTGCCTGGATAGCACTGGTGTCCTCAGTGGCCCTGCAGATCCTCTGGCAGCTTAGCTGACCTCACCCTCTCCCAGACTGCCCTTCTGTCCCAGAGGGGTCACCCTGACCTGGCCTGCCCTGCCGCTGGGCTTCGGACTCCAGCCCTGACAGGGCCCCGCCGCACTGGCTCTGCCCCTCGAAGGGGCTATGAGCAAGGTAGGAGGGAGCTGGTCTCCTTTCTTCGGGCCCCATGCAGGCCCCAAGCACCCCCCACCCTTGTGAGGGCCCCAGGCCTTAAGTCCCTGGTGGGGTCATGGGTTTCTGACTCAAGCGGAGCGGAGGACAGGGCACTGGAAGGCCGACGAGCTCAGCATGCGATTCGGTGACAGACCAGGCTCGGAAGGGCCGGTGTACTTTTTGTGGTTGTCGTTGGTTTGTTGTTGCACATTCCAGGATATCAGTATTTTAACAGGTTCTAAGTGCCTTTCTATCGTAGCTATGTTTTTCCTCCTCTTGGCTCCATTGCTGTTAGCATAGAGTTTTAAAAAAAAAAAAAGAGATAAGCTAATGACTATAACAATATATTCCTCCATGGGAGAGGAAGTTTATAAAGAAACAATAAAAGTGAGTTGCAAAGATGGCTTGTGCGTCGTGGATGTGCACTGCCCCAGAGCCCCTGCCAGCCTGATCTTCCCCAACCCTGCAGGTGCCCTTTTCTCTCAATCTGCAACTGAGAGCAGGACCTGGAAGGCTGGGGAGGAGGTAGGTGCTGAGGGCACACAGGTGACAGGAGCTGAGACAGGAGATTCCAGACTGACCATCCCAAGGTTCAGGTCCTCGGCCCACTACTGCCCAGTGTGGCTCGGTAAGCAGTGGGTGGGTAGAGGCACCTCCTCCCCCAGCCGCATCCCGGGGTATTATGCCCAGATGACTGAGGTGCTAGGTTCAAACTCGCCCCAGGGACAGGGTGGCTGCCAACAGAGCTCTGGGGCCAGGGGACTGCCACGCTGTGGGAAGGGCAGGGGCACCTGATGGTGACTGGGAGCTGGGGTCTGGCAGGGTGCCACAGGAGGGAGCCTGGTGCTGGCGCGGGTGCTGTGGAGGCAGGAGCGGCTGCATCCTGTACGTGACTGGACTTGGCTGGGGCCCGCTGGCTGGCTGGCTGCCTGCCAAGCTTGCCCAGCCAGGCCCCTCTGGGCTATCAGGCTGCTGCCTCCCCAACCCAAGCACACACAGCCCTGTGACTGGCAGAGGAGCAACCTGCCTTCTGGAATCGACCCATGCACATGAGAAATGCAGAAAAGACATTTATTACCAAGCTATAAATTAGAGGCTGCGGGATGGGTGGGGAGAGCCAAGCAGTCACGTGTGGGGTGTCCGTCCTTTTTCTCTGTCCTCCTGGGCCTGGATTCTGAGTTCCTCATCCAGGCGCTCCTTTGCGCGGACCACCTGGTAGGTCACAGATAATCAGGCTGGGAGGCTAAGCCTCTGCCCTATGCCCCTTGCCCACATGGGATAGCCTCTTCCCATCTGGCCCAGGTCCAGTTTTTTGGAGAGCAGTGGGTGGATACCAGTGCTTCCTTCAGCGCTGCCCCAGGGTCAGGGGTGGCCTGGGGAGACAGAGCCAGGCTGCAGGGCCCAGTGCATGCTGTGACCTCTGTGAGCTGAGAGCTGGTTCTAGCACCCCACCCGCTGGCGCTCCTGCTCCTTCCAAGTCCCAGCTGCTGGAGGGAGGGTTGCTGTCTGGAGTGACACAGCCTGAGTGGCTGGACCCTATAGAGCTGAAGCAGTCAGAGGGGTGGCAGTTCAGGGGACTCCGTGAGGCTGGGGCACCATGGGAAGGCCCGGCAGTTTTCTGTGTGCTGAGCCCTTAGCTGGCCACCTTTCCCCAGCCAGGAATCGAGTCCCTGTGACTTCCCTCCTTCCAGAATCAAAGACCACTCACCTTTGACTGCAGGTAAAAGGAGCCACCCACGGATTTGTCATTCACCTTAAATAAGTGTTCATAGTTCTGCGGAGGAGAGATGGGAGGGCTGCAGATTGCAGGTCAGAGATGCTGGGCAGGCTATGTGAGGTCACATGAGGGAAGCCACAGGACTCCTCTCCACCCTGTGTGCCACATGCAGCTGTTGTGGCTACTGAGAGGCAGATGTGGACAGGTACCCTGGAGGGTGACATGGCTGCTAAAACTGTCCTGCCTTGGGCCTAAAACGAGTGATAGCAAGCTGGAGTCCAAGCTGGCTATGACCACAGCATCCAAACTGGACCTCTCTGCCAGGCCTCCCTTCACTCTTCCTGCCCTGGCAGCCTCTCTCCCTCAGGCTTTGGGGCAGCCCAGTGGCCTTACCTTCTGGACCTCCTCGGGGCTCAGCTTGGACACGTTGAGAATTTGCTGTGCCTCCTGGAGGCTGAGGCCAGAGAGGTTGGAAGCGGCTGCAGACCGGTGTCCAGCGCGTCCTCGGGCATCAGCTGCGGCCCGGCTGGCTGTGTGGACATGTGGGTGATCGCTCAGTCCTCAGCAGCCCAGACTTCGCCCTGGGCCTTCCAAGTGGGTGGCTCACCCCTGCCACCGGCACAGGATGAGAGACACAGGGACAGAGGTAGCAAGGAATCTCTTCTCCAGGAGTGGTTTTTTTAGGGGGTAGTGGCTGGGACAGTGAGGACAGATGTGCCTCACTGGAGGAAAAGGGCAGGGTCTGACCACCAAACCTAGCTCCTGGTCCCAAACCTAGACCATGAGATGACAACCCACCTCCACATCCCAGGGCACAGCAAATTGTGGAGCTTTAGGCTCTGATGGGGACTGGACAGTGGAGCTGCGGGCATGAGAAGGCTCTGCAGGGGCCCGGCTGCCCACCGGTCACCTAGAACACCAAAGCCGGTGCCTTGGGTGACCTCTTCCCTTTCAGTGACCCCAGAACCTAGAATCAGGAGCTGGTAAACTTTCCCTAAAGGCTCGGAAAGTAGATGTTTTAGGCTTCTCGGGCTCATGAGCCTACATTGGGCCCATTCAACTCTGCCTTGAAAGTAGCCCGTGAGTGTGTCTGCGCTCCAATCAAATTTATTTATAAAACCAGGGCTGGGCACCATGGCTCACACCTGTAATCCCAACACTTTGGGAGGCTGAGGAGGATGGATCACCTGAGGTCAGGAATTCCAGAGCAGCCTGGCCAACATGGTGAAACCCCCTCTCTACTAAAAATACAAAAGTTAGCCAGGTATGGTGGTGGGTGCCTATAATCCCAGCTACTTGGGAGACTGAGGGAGAAGAATCACTTGAACCTGGCAGGCGGGACTTCCAGTGAGCCAAGATTGCCCCACTACACTCCAGCCTGGGTGACAGAGTGAGACTTCATCTCAAAAAAAAAAAAAAAAGTTTATTTGTACAAAACCATTTATTTTTATAAAACCAGGTGTCCAGATGGGACAGTCTGCCAGCTCCTGCCCTGGATGCTCTTGCAAACCAGGTCCCAATGAAAGATGCCTCTACTATGGGAAGTGCCCCAGGCCACCCACGCTGCAGAACCATCAGGCCTAAGGTACCCATGGCTACAGAGAAAATCTGACCTCGATAGGAGCTCCCAACCCAGAGGGGAGACAGGCCCATGCTCACCTGCAAACTCCTGCCGCAAGGCCCGTGCAAAGGCCCTGCCCACCACCTGCACACCCATCACGATGATCTGCGCCAGGTACTTGGCCTGTGGGCAAAGCAGGCACCTGGTTAGCAGACTGTGGAGACCTGAGGTCACGAAGCACAGAGCTGCTGCCCCAAGCCACCCCCTCCAAAGCACCCTGACTGAAAGCTTCCATGATGGGTGGCTTAGATACTCATTGGACAGGCAGGTGGGGGGTGAATCTGACAGAACTCCGAGAGATCCCCCCTCATCCTTCAAGAAAGGCAAAGAAGAGCAAAGGCAAAGTGGCTGCAGCCACCAGCTTCGGGAGGAAACACGGTGGCCTGGGAGCGAGAGCACAAGGACAGTACCAGACCTGGCAGTATCTCCCTCTCAGCTTTGGGGCTGAGATTGGTTTTCCTATGTTTCTGAGATCATCAGCTCCAAACTTTATTTTACCAATGGGGAAACAGATCCGTAGTAATTCTCCCAAGTCCCAACGATTTTAAGTCGGCTCCATTCAATAAAACAAACTTGCTAAGGGCCTACTTAGTGCAAACCCGTTTCCATCTTTAAGGAGCTAAAAGGCCACTAGGAGGGTAAACACACCACAGACCACATGATGAGGCAGGGTCAGGCTCGTCCATCTGTCATTTGTTCAGCCATTGGTTCACCCATTCATTCAAACATCTGCTGAATGTCTACTCTGTTCAGCACCTGAGCACAAAGCTAGCCTGGTCTCTGCCCCAAGTCGGGCACACTGCTGGCCTGCCAGCGAATCCCACTGTAGCACAGCATGCTGAATGTGCCTGAAGGCTGCATGTGTGATTCCATGCCCCACAGAGGCCCTGGGGAAGACTCAGTAAGAGGTGACTGGAAGCACAGAGAGTCAAGATGGAAAACTTCCAGCTGAGATGGGGTTCTGTAAGAGGAGGGTGTTCTTTTTGGGCTGGGCTTTGCAGAGCAGGTAGAATCATGACGGAAATACTAGGGCTTTCTAAGTGGAGGGACTAGGTTGAGCCAAAACTGGCAGGAGAGAAGGCAGAAGGGAGTTCCTGTGAGCACACAACAGCCTAGGCTGGCCTGGGAAACTGGGAATCTGGCAGATGACATGGAAAGACGCACAGATCTTGTGTGAAACAAAGAGATTATATATAGACAGCATGTACAAAGGACCCAGTCACTGCGAAGCCATAGATGCGGGGGTGTGGTGTGGGCTGGAGTAGGCTTGGCATAGGCTGAGAGCTCATGTGGCACAGCCCAGTGACTCTCCCTTTCTTTCTAGTGCTTTTCCGTAGCTAGATTTCCCTTCAATCAACAAGTATCAACTAAGCCGGCACACCAGGCACAGTGCCAAACACGTTCAATTCATTGTGCCATTTAATCCTGACAACTCACGGGGGTTGGTGACTGGCCAGAGGACATACAGTGGGTACCTCGGAGGCAGATGGGAAACCCAAGGCTGGTGCTACCAGTCACGGCAGTCGCTACGAAGGGTCCTGGGGTCTGAAGGGAGGGCACCTGAGCAAGCCGACAAGTATCAAGACCCCAACCCCGAGGCTGGAGGGGCTTGCTCCACAGACTCCATTGCATTCCAGACTCCAGAACTGGCCTTGTTCAGCCTCTGAGGACCTGCACTTTCCTAACAGGCGGGATGTGATTATGGGCCATTGGGGGAATGAACAAACACAAGTGGGTTAGGATTTCACAAGTAGGTGGAAATTTCATAACTTCTGGATTTCACAGCAGAAAGCAGAACCCAGAGATGACCGTCCTGTGATCAAGGTGAGGGGTAGGGCTGTGGCTGCTGTGCTGCAGGTATGGGAGGGTCAGGGATGCACCTGCTGACACCTGTGGTCTCAGCTGACTTCACCACCTTTCTAAACACCCTCCTGAGTGGGACAGCAGGCTCAGGCATGGGATGCTGGTGCTGTCTGAAGGACAGAGGTGAAAGGCAGAGGGTCCCCTCAGCCTGGAACATGGCTCAGGTCTCAAGCTACCCCTCTCACCACATGGCCTTGCAATCACTTGTTTACTCTTCTGCCAAGGCCAACGACTAGACTATTGAAAAATAATGCATGTTAAGAGCTAAGCCCATAACTGGGGAGCTTCCCCAACCAACCCCTGCACACTTCAAACCAAAGCGGCATGGTGGCCTGTGGCTTCAGCTGCCCAGAGCTGCAGGGCACAGGGGGGCTGGCCTGCAGTTACAGCAGACTGGACTGCGCGTGGACGCCAGCAAGGTTCCTGCGAGAGGCATCTCCCAGAAGAGGCATTGTAGTGTAATGGCTACACCCGCAGGCTTTGGGATCCCCTGTGTGCCAATCCTAGCTGTGTGACTCTGGACAAGGTCTCAACTCCTGAGACCCAGTTTGCTTATTTGTAAAATGTGGTCACCGATAAAGCTGTCATATGGATTAAATGAGATAATGCCTGTCAAGTTCCCGGCACAGAGCCTAATGGTACAATAGGTGCTCAATAAACATTGGTGTTCACTCATTACTATTGTTTCACAAAACCTGACAAGGACCAGGCGATTTGAAGTAACAAAGCTTCTTTCAAAATTGCGGTTCATTTGATACAGGTCCTTTGCTTCCTCAGGGGTGAAGGCTGCAAAACACCGTACTACATTCCCTTAGGGTGCTGGGAAGCAGCGAGGAAGCAGAATGAGAACCATGCTGACCTGGGACCGGAACCCTAGCTTTGTTTCTCGATAGCTGTGTGCCCCTGGACAAATTACTCAACCTCTCTGAACCTGTTTGTTTTGTGTTGGCTTTTTTTTTTTCCTGAGACTGAGTCTCACTGTGTCACCCAGGCTAGAGTACAGTGGCATGATCTCGGCTCACTACAAACTCTGCCTCCCGGGTTCAAGCGATTCTCCTGCCTCAGCCTCTGGAGTAGCTGGGACTACAGGTGAATGCCACCACAGCCTTCTAATTTTGTACTTTTAGTAGAGATAGGGTTTCAACATGTTGGTCAGGCTGGTCTCGAACTCCTGACCTCACGAGAGCTTGCTCTCCTCAGTCTCCCAAAGTGCTGAGATGACAGGCCTGAGCCACCACACCCAGCTAACTTTTTTAAAGATGAGGCTGTGTTATGTTGCCCAGACTGGTCTCAAACTCCTGACTTCAAGTGATCCACCCACCTTGGCCTCCAAAAGTGTGGAGATTACGGGTGTGAGCCACCATGCCTACCCGTTTTTTTTTGTTTTGTTTTGTTTTGTTTTAAAGTAGAGTCCAACATTGTCGCCCAGGCTGGAGTGCAGTGGTGCAATCATGGCTCACTGGCAGCCTCAACCGCCTGGCCTCAAGACAGCCTCCTCCTTAAGCTTCCTGAGTAGCTAGGGCTATAGGTATATGCCACCACACTTGGCTAAATTTTTGTACTCTTCTGGAGAAGATGGGGTTTCGCCATGTTGCCCAGGCTCGTCTTAAAAATCCTGAGTTTGCCGGGCGCGGTGGCTCAAGCCTGTAATCCCAGCACTTTGGGAGGCCGAGGCGGGTGGATCACGAGGTCGAGAGTTCGAGACCATCCTGGTCGACATGGTGAAACCCCGTCTCTACTAAAAATACAAAAAATCAGCTGGGCATGGTGGCGTGTGCCTGTAATCCCAGCTGCTCAGGAGGCTGAGGCAGGAGAATTGCCTGAACCCAGGAGGCGAAGGTTGCGGTGAGCCGAGATCGCGCCATTGCACTCCAGCCTGGGTAACGAGAGCGAAACTCCGTCTCAAAAAAAAAAAAAAAAAAAAATCCTGAGTTCACACGATCTGCCCTCCTCGGCTTCCCAAAGTGCTGGGATTACAGGCATGAGCCACTGCGCACAGGCCACCTCAGTTTTCTTAACTGCAAAATGGAGAGAATACCCTCCTCACAAGAGGACAATAAGGCCCTCAGGAGGCAATGCCCATAACACTATGTGGACAGACAGCGGCAGGTCCAGAACTAGATGGCATAGCCAAGCCTCTTACCCACCTAAGCAGTACCCTAAGGTCCCCTGAGCTCTTGCCATGGGTCAGGCTAGTTTCAGAGCTCATTCATGGGGACAGAGCTCTGCCAGGTGCAGCTACCATGGGTGACCAAAACAGCCACTGCCTGAGGCTCCTCCCAGAGGCTCTAAACATTCTATAGTCCACTGACTGACACTTGGGCCTGTGGATCCCAGGCAAGAGGACCTATCCAACTTCAGGCCATGCGGCTGTCAGAGAGCAGTAGTCAGAAGCACAGGACCCAATCCCGGGACGTGTAGGGGCAGCACATGCGTGTCCCTGCTGGGCAGCAACCTGGCCTGAGGCAGGACCAGAGCCCAGCAGCTGGGACCACAGACAGTGCTGTGGGAGGCACCCAGCAATGGGGTTTATACTGATTTGTGTCTTTGAGATTTGCTTGCAATGTGCCTTTGAGGCCAAGCCCCAGGCTCCAGGGAGATGAGCAGACAGCCTGATTCTCAAGGACACTCTAGTCACCCAGGGCCCCTGCAAACAGATGCTGGCATCACAACTAGGCAGAAGGAAGGTCAGGACCACAACTGTAGCATGTGCCATGGCAACCCGGGGCCTGGTCAGTGGCTGGCGCAGCAAGTGTCCCCAAGGTATTTGAATGAATATGGCTGTTCAGCTTTGGCTAACCTGCTGTCTCATGAACTCCATGTCCCCAGGCAGGGTTTCCAAGAGCCTCCTAACCCTTTCTGCTGGAGGGTTCTGGCCATCTCCCAGTGTACACACAATTCTCCACTGCTGCCTACACATTTGGTCCACTCCCCAGCTTGACATCCACGGTGATGGGTCTGGGCTCAACTTGTCACCTTTACCTCTCTCCCAACTGCAGCCACACCCTCTGCTCCTAGAGCTGCTCTCATGCTTGTGGACTCTGCAGGGTCTTTGCTGTTCTGAATTCCTCCATCATCAACATCCTCCCTTCTACCCTGATCCTGTCAAAATCCAACATCCTTCAGTACTTAACATCATCCGCCATCCCGAGTGAAACCTTCTCAGGCTCTCCCATGTATACCTTCTGAAAGCACTTTCTTTTCCTGTTAATATACCGTCACGCTGGATGTAGTGGCTCACGCCTATAATCCCAGCACTCTGGGAGGCCGATGCAGGAGGACTCCTTGGGCCCAGGAGTTTGAGACCAGCCTGGCAACATGGCAAAACCTCATCTCCATGAAAAATACAAAACATTAGCTGCTCATAGTGGAGCATGCCTGTTGTCCCAACTAGCCAGAAGGCTGAGGCTACTCGGGAGGATGGGGTTGGAGGATTACTTGAGCCCCAGGAGGTTGAGGCTGCAGTAAGCTGTGATCGCACCACTGTACTCCAGCTTAGGAAACCCATCCTGGACAATACGGCAAGACCCCATCTCTAAAAATTTTTTAAAAATTAGGGGTGCTGGCACTCACCTGTAGGCCCAATTACTTGGGGGTTTGTGGTAGGAGGCCCACTTGAGCCCAGGAGTTCAAGGCTGCAGTGAGCTAGGATCGCTGTACCTCACTCTAGCCTGGGTAACAGAGAGAGATCCTATCTCAAAAAACAAAGAAAAACATGAGTCTTGGGACACAGTGGGATGAATGACTGTGGAGGAGTCAAAACTGTCTGAGCCTCAAGTTTCTAATCTGTAAAATAAGAACGATGACAGCAGGACTTAATAAACACTAAATGAGACAATCTACATAAAGCCTTAGCTCAGGGGCTAGCAACTGAAAGCTGTTAGCTGTTACATTATTCTTATTACTATGTTAGTTAAGAAGTGCTTCCCGAACTGCTTGCAACAGAGTCACTTGGGGAACTTACATATGCAGAACCTCCAGGGATATCGCACAAGAACCTGTTTTCTCTCTCTCTCCCTCTCTCTTTTTTGACAGAGTCTTGCTCTATCACCCAGGGCTGGAGTGCAGTGGCACAATCTCAGCCGACTGCAGCCTCTGCCTCCCTTCAAGCGATACTCATGCCTCAGCCTCCCAAGCAGCTAGGATTACAGATGTGTGCCACCATGCCTGGCTAATTTTTACATCTTTTTGAGACAGAGTCTCACTCTGTCACTCTGGCTGGAGTGCAGTGGCGGGATCTCGGTTCACAACCTCTGCCTCCCAGGGTCAAGCAACTGGGACCACAGGCCCACACCACTCTACCCGGCTAATTTTTGTATTTTTAGTAGAAAGGGGGTTTTATCACATTGGCCAGGCTGGTCTCAAAATCCTGGCCTCATGATCCGTCCGCCTCGGCTTCCAAGAGTGTTGGGATTACAGGTGTGAGCCTGCAATTTTTTTTTTTTTTTTTTTTTTTGAGAGGGAGTCTGGCTCTATCACCCAGGCTGGAGTGCAGTGGCGTGATCTCGGCTCAGTACAACCTCCACTTTCCGGGTTCGAGCTATTCTCCCGCCTAAGCCTCCTGAGTAGCTGGGACTACAGGCGCACGCCACCACGCCCGGCTAATATTGTATTTTTAGTAGAGACAGGGTTTCACAATGTTGGCCAGAATGGTCTCGATCTCCTGACTTGGTGATCCACCCGCCTGGGCCTCCCAACGTGCTGAGATTCCAGGCATGAGCCACCGCGCCCAGCCGAGCCTGCACTTTGAAAGGTTCCCCACGTGACAGTGCGGCACAGGTCTGTAGACTGGCTCTACGAGACAATGCTATCACACAAACGCTCCGTGCTTGGTGTCTCGGGGCCCAGTTCAAGCCCCAGGTCTGCCACTTTCCTGGAAAGGCCAACTTTCCAGTAGGGATAGCAACATCGACTCTGCAGCGCTGTAAGGTTCCAGGGGAGGTGCTCACCGGCCAGACCCACGCTCCACCGCCGCCCACGGCTGCTCGCTCACACGCGGGCTAGGCACAGCGCGACCACGTTTTCCCGGCCTCTTCCATGCAGACGGCTTTCCCTGGCCCTGAGGCCGCCGCTGCCGCCACTGCTGGACTAGGTCCCCCTGGATGCAACGCTTCCCAGACCCTGCTTCCTGCCGGGCACGCAGGGGGCGCACGGCGCCCGCCGCCCGGCCCCCAGCCCGACTCGGCCTCCCTTCCTCGGGCTGTGCCCGACTCGGGCCTCACCATGGCAGCTGCTCTGCCTCGGGGACTCTGGCTCCGACTTCCTGGCCTTGCGGCCCCGGCTCAAGGGTGGCCGGCGGGTCAGAGGTCAAGGGAAGCCGCAGAGAGCGCTTGCGCGAGAAGGCGCTGGGCATGCGTATTACCTCGGCCCCGGGGCTGGGCGCCGGCCGCTTGGGGCGGAGTCGGAGGCGGGATTTAACACACGCCGGAGCCTGCTTCGGGCTCCGGACAACTGGGGCGGGCGTGGGGCGGGCGTGGGGCGGGCGTGGGGGCGGGCGTGGGGGCGGTACCAGGAGCCTCAATGGCCTGCGTGCTTACGCTGGTGCGCTGGAGCAGCTAAGCACATAGGTCAGACCTGGGGCGATTTCTACCCTTGATTTCGTCTAAATATTTGGGAATGCAACATTATATGAAATCAACGAACCTATATGGAGTAGGCTCCCAAATTCTCAGGAATATTGAAAAAATAGGAAACTTTAAGATAGGTTTCATCCATATTCCTCATGCCTGGGACGTTCGTTCCCTCCTTCAAATAACTGCTCAAATGTCACCTCAATGAGGCCCACCTAGACCCCTTACAACGCCGTGACTTGCCATCCATGAATGAAAAAAGTAACAGCTTTACTGAGATATAATGCATACACTTGACATTTCATGATTGTCTGGAGCACAGTCCAATGCCTTTTATTCACAGAGCTGTGCCACTGTCCACTATTAGTTCCAGAACGTGTTCATCACCCGTTAATCACTCCCCTCCCCCAGCCCCCGTCAACCACTCATTTTTCTCCCTGTGGATTCGCAGGTTCTGGACATTTCACAGAAACGGAATCATACAAGCTGGGCATGGTGGCTCATGCCAGTAATCTCAACACTTCGGGAGGCCGAGGTGAGAGGATCACTTGAGGCCAGGAACTCAAGATCAGCCTGGGGAACATGGTGAAACCCCATTTCTACAAAGAGTACAAAAATTAGCCAGGTGTGGTGGCAGGCGCCTGTAGTCCCATTTACTCGGGAGGCTGAGAGGAGGGAGGATCTCTTGAGCCTGGGAGGTAGAAGCTGCAGTGAGCTATGATCATGCCACTGTACTCCAGCCTGGGTGACAGAGCAAGGCCCTGCCACAAAAACAAAACAAAACAAAAAACAGAAAAAAAGGAAAAAAGAAAGAAAGAAATTCAATCATACAATGTGCAACCTTTTGTGACTGGTTTATTTTCCCTTCTTGATAGTCTCTGTATTTTTTTGTCCAAGACTCTAACCATCCTCTACCATATAACATAATTTACTTATTTATTATTTTGAGACAGAGTCTCACCCTGCCACCCAGGCTGGAATGCAGTGGCACGATCCTGGCTCACTGCAACCTCCACCTCTCAGGTTCAAGCGATGCTCATGCTTTAACCTCCTGAGAAGCTAGTATTGCAGGCATGGACCACCATGCCCCACTAATTTTCAAATTTTTAGTAGAGACAGGATTTCGCCACATTGCCCAGACTGGTCTCAAACCGTTGGCCTGAAGTGATCCACCCGCCTCAGCCTCCCAAAGTGCTGGGATTAAAGGTGTGTGTCACCATGCCCAACCAATTTATTATTTTTTTCCTTTTTTTTTTTTTTTGAGATGAAGTCTTGCTCTGTCACCCAGGCTGGAGTGCAGTGATATAATCTCAGCTCACTAAAATGTCCACTTCCTGAGTTCAAGTGATCCTACCACCTCAGCCTCCCAAAGTGCTGGGAGTGCCTATAAAGGCATGAGCCATCATGCCCAGCCCACACCTGGCCTTTTTTTTTTTTTTTTTTTTTTTTTTTTTTTGAGACAGGGTCTCACTCTGTTGCCCCGGCTGCAACATATGATCATGCCTCACTTCAGTCTTGACCTTCCAGCATTTGAGTGATACTCTTACCTCAGGTTGCTGAGTAGCTGGGACCACGTGCCTGGTTAATGTTTGTATTCTCTGTAGAGATAAGGGTCCCCCTATGTTGCCCAGTCTGATCTCAAATTCCTAGGTTCAAGCAATCCTCACACCTTGGCCTCCCTTTATTTTTGTTTATTATTGAGAATCTGTTCTCTTCCACTAGAGTAGGAGTTCCTGTTGGGCAAGACTTTTCTCTCTCTGCTCTTAGATGTCAAGTGCCTGGTACGGCATCTGGCGCACAGCATTCGGCAAATGGTGGGATGAAAGTTGGGCCGCCTGGTACCACTACTCTTCTTCCCCCTCCTCCCATCCTCCACATTCCTTCCTCTGTGCCCACATTGTCCTTCCTTGCTTGCCTGGAAGCGGCTCTCTCCCTGCCTGGCTCCTCATCAGCCCTCAGGTCTTGTCTCAGCTCAAAGTCACCTTCTCAAGCCCTGAATCTCAGTCGCTTCCTGTTCTCCAGTTTCTTATATATTATATACATTTTTTGAGACGGAGTCTTGCTCTGTCGCCCAGGCTAGTGTGCAGCAGCATGATCTTGGCTCACTGCAACCTCTGCCTTCTGGTTTCAAGTGGTTCTCCTGCCTCAGCTTCCTGAGTAGCTGGGATTATAGGCACCCATCACCACACCTTGCTATTTTTTTTTTTTTTTTTTGAGATGGAGTCTCACTGGCACCCAGGCTGGAGTGCGGTGGCACTATCTTGACTCACTGCAACCTCCACCTCCCAAGTTCAAGCGATTCTCCTGCCTAAGCCTCCGCAGTAGCTGGGTCTACAGGCGTGTGCCACCACACCCGGCTAATTTTTAAAAAATTTTTAGTAGAGATGAGGTTTCACCATGTTGGCCAGGCTGGTCTCGAACTCTTGATATTAGGTGATTCGCCTGCCTTGGCCTCCCAAAGTGCTTGGATTACAGGCATGAGTAACCACACACAGCCAGTTTCTCTTCCTTACTGCTGTCTTTGCACTCTATCTGCTTGCCTGTAGACAGTCTAATCCCCCTGCATAAGAAGGGTGTAGGAAGCTGAAGCTCCTTGCAAGACCTTGTCTGTCCTGTCCTTTACAGCATCCTGCCATCCAGAGCACTGCAGGTACCTGCGTGGTGAACCGAATGACTTCCAGCAGTGCGCAGCTGATCAGGTCCTGGGAGCAGAGTGAGGCTAAGATACAGGGAAGCCCAAGTCCAAACCCCTGTCACCCACATTCCTGTCCCCTTCGCTTGCCAACCAGCCCAGAGACCACAGCCGTATAAGAAGTGGCCAGCTTAAAAAAGTTTAATTGCTGAGAACATCCAGAGCAGGTGCGGGCCGGTCTTTGTGGGGCTCACAACCCCTTGTTGGACCATCAGCTCTGCGATGACTCCTTCTCCTGGCTACAAACCTGAGAAGCGGGGCAGCTGGTCCCAGGGCCCTGAGACTGGTGCTGCTCCAGAAGGCCTGGTGGGAGGCCAGCCCCCAAGGCCCTGGACCAGAACTGGGGCAGCAGGCAAGATGGGGCAGCGTGGGGTGAGCAAAGGTGCTGGATGAGGCCAGCCCAGGATGGGACCAGCCCAGAGCAACAGAAAGACCAGGGGAGACGGGGTACCCAGCGCCTGCCCAGGGACATGCTACTGACCCCCCGCCACTCTGCACCCCTGGCTACATGCTAGTGGGCAACTGATGAGCAGCAGCTGACCCCAGAGACAGCAGAGGTGAGAACAGTCCCTGGGAGCTGCCAAGACCCAGAAGCTGTGGAAGTGCCCACGGGAAGCCAGGGCTGCAGGGGTGAGAAGTGTCGGTGCGAGAGAGGCATCTTCCAGCCTGAGGATGAGCTGTGAGGTGTACACTAGGAGGCCGCAGCACAGGTTAGGTGGAGGTGACGGGGGCGCAGGCTAGTCCTGGGGCAAAACACCAAGAGGTGGGAGGGAGTCAGGAGGGCCTGGGAGGGCGGGAGGTGCGTGCTGTGGCATGTGCCAAGCCAAGGGATGGCGCTGCCTGCTGGGAAATGGGGCCACTTGCTACTCACCCACTCATCTTCGTCCACACCTTCAAAGGAGTCCTGGGGGAGCGGGTCGTCCCTGTTCCCCAGCTTTGCCACCATGGCATTCAGCAGCTGGGAGAGAAGGCAGGAGAAGGGTCAGGAAAGGCATAAGACTCCCTACTCCCACTCCAAGAACAACCCTGACAATGCTGTGAAAGAGCTTGTTTTTTGTTTTTAGAGAGACAGGGTCTTGCTCTGTCACACAGGCTGGAGTGCAGTGGTGCAATCATGGCTCACTGTAGCCTTGACTTTCTGGGTGCAAGTGATCCTCCTGCCTCAGCCTCCCAATTGGCTGGGATGACAAGTGTGTAACACCACACATAGTTAATTTTTTTTAGACAGAATTTCACTATTGTTGCCCAGGCTGGAGTACAATGGCATCTCAGCTCACTGCAACATCTGCCTCCCAGGTTCAAGTGATTCTTCTGCCTCAGCCTCCCAAGTAGCTGGGATTACAGGCATGCACCACCCTGCCTGGCTAACTTTGTATTTTTAGTAAAGATGGAGTTTCTTCATGTTGGTCAGGCTGGTCTCGAACTCCTGACCTCAGGTGATCCACCTGCCTCAGCCTCCCGAAGTGCTGGGATTACAGGCATGAGCCGCTGGTTAATTTTTTAAAATTTTTTGTGGAGATGGTCTCAAACTCCTGGCCTTAAGAGATCCTCCCTGCTTTGGCCTTCCAAAGTGCTGGGATTACAAGTGTGAACCACCACACCTGGCCAAAATAGCCATTTTATTTTATTTTATTTTTTACTTATTTATTTATTTGAGATAGAGTCTCGCTCTGTCACCCAGGCTGGAGTGCAATGGCTCGATTTTGGCTCACTGCAACCTCTGCCTCCTGGGTTCAAGTGATTCTCCTGCCTCAGCCTCCTGAGTAGCTGGGATCACAGGTGCGCGCCACCACACCTGGCTAAAATTTTTTATTTTAGTAAAGATGGGGTTTCACCGTGTCGCCCAGGATGGTCTCAAACTCCTGAGCTCAGGTGATCCACTCGCCTTGGCCTCCCAAAGTGCTAGGATTACAAATGCAAGCCACCTCACCCAGCCTCAGAACAGCCATTTTAATTAAAGCTCTAACAAAGCTGATGGGTTTCCACTGAAAAGGACACAAAGAAGAGATGGGAGTGAGAGACTGAGAAGCTGTGGCATACAGCACCATACACACGAGCCACTGTCTCTGCACATGGCCTCCAATGCTCAAAATGTACTCCAGGGTCCCAAAAGCACTTGGGCCCAGAACCTCCAGCTTGGGATGAGTTTGGCCTGGCCAGGGTGGGGCTCTAACTGCCCTCCCCCACTTGTCATGCCCTGTGCTTAGCTGCAGGGCTCTGGAAGGTCTCCCTACCCAGATCTGGTGTGAAGAGGATGTGACATGTGGTTGCTGTCCCAGTATGGGTCTGGGCTGGAAAACTAAGGGGTCATGGCCACGTGCAGCCAGGACTCTGTCACTTCCATATGGCTGCTCTCTCCCATGCCTACCTCCTCCTTCTTTTGTTGATCTGACTTCTCTTCCAGGTACTGCGCTGAGGAGGGGGCCCGACGGGCAGGGGTCTCTCGGGGAGCTTGGCTCACTGGGGCAGGTCAAGAACAAACATCAGAGAGTTCGCTTGGTGGGGGCTCCTTGGTGCCAAGCCCTAGATTTCTTTTCTTTTCTTTTTGAGATGGAGTTTTGCTCCCGTTGTCCAGGCTGGAGTGCAGTGGTGCGACCTTGGCTCACTGCAATCTCCGCCTCCTGGGTTCAGGCGATTCTCCTGCGTCAGCCTCCAGAGTAGCTGGGATTGCAGGTGCCCACCACCACACCCAGCTAATTTTTGTATTTTTAGTAGAGACAGGGTTTCACCATGTTGGCCAGGCTGGTCTCAAACTCCTGACCTCAGGTGATTCGCCAGCCTCGGCCTCCCAAAGTGCTGTGATTACAGGCGTGAACCACCATGCCATGTCAACCTAGGGGGTTTCTATGGCACAAACCCAACAGGTGGTGTTAAGAGTCAATGGCAGCCAGGCGTGGTGGCTCACGCCTGTAATCCCAGCACTTTGGGAGGCCGAGGTGGATAGATCACCAGGTCAGGAGATCAAGACCATCCTGGCTAACACGGTGAAACCTCATCTCTAAAATAAATAAATAAATAAATAAATAAATAAATAAAAAGAAAAAAACAGTCAATGGAGCCTCAGTGCGTAAGACGTGCCCTGGACACCAGGGTGGCTGGGTGTGTGTGTGTTAGGAGTAGGGACTTGCAATGAAAACACAAACCACAGGCACTGCCCTCCAGAGCCTCAGAGACTGAATGACACAGCCACTCCACCCTCGAAAAGGCCAGAGGATTCTGTGTACCAACAGGAATGGAACTTCAGCCTGGGCCTTCTGTCCCTTTCTCCAGCCCCCATCTCGCTTCCTCCCCACACCCAGTCCCACAGCGCACCTGGGCTCATGTCAGGAGGCTGCAGGCTGAGAAGCCGGGGTTGCCCAGTAGCACCCTGCAGCCAGGCCTTGGCACTGAGCACGGGCTCCCAGCTCACAGCCGTGTCTGGGAACACGTCATCCTGGAAGAACTCTTTCTGCAGAGGGAGAAACAGTGTTTCCTGAAACAGGGCTGTCCTGAAACACTGACCCGGGGCCCAGGGCACACGGGCATCTGTTGGGGAGGGAGGAGGCAGACCTGGGACCTTCTCAGCAGCCTGGGGCTTCCGTGAGTTTCAGTATCTCAGTAGAAGTGGACAAAGAATAATGTCCCCAAAGAATAATGAGTGGGACCATTTGGAAGCAGGACCAGACAGGACCCAAAATCCCCTCTAGGCACTGAGAAGGAGATGGGCATCAGGGTCCCAGGGCCCCACCCTCACCCTCACCCGGACTCGGGGCAGCCGGAAGGCCACAGGCTCCAGGGAGGACTGACGCAGCCGCAGGCACCGCATGAACTCCACCTCCCGCACATCACACTCTGTCTTCGGCAGGAGGGCGAAGCCCTAGGGGAGGGAGGTAGTCGGAGCTGCCACTGGGACCTAGAGCTCATGGCTTGGCATGCAGTCTCCCCAGGGTGCCAGCATCCCTCACTCAGGACCATCATGACTGTGGCCTGTCCCTGGTCAGTAATGTGCTGACCATGTTGAACCACCTGCTCTCTGGAGGGAAAGCCCTGATTTATAGTATTTCCCTATTTCCACAGCGTACAAACTCCCACCGTGGCTGACTGCGAGATGCCAACTCCACTTCCTGAATGTGGTACTGGGATGAGATGCAAATAGCACATCATCCCGCATTTCCTCCATGCACTCTAACATGTGACCTCAACAGCAAAGATAACAGTAAAACTGTATACATTAATTAGGAAGTGATAAACTGGTTATGAATTTGGTTGTTAATATTCTTATTTTTAGGTTCATATTGTGAGTTCATATGGTTTAACCTTATCTAGTGTAATTGTTTGTTTTGTAAAGATGGGTTCTTGCTTTGTTGCCCAGGCTGGTCTTAAACTGGGCTCAAGCAATCCTCCTACCTCAGCCTCCCAAAGTGTTGGGATTTCAGGGAACTGTACCCAGCCTACACTGTAATTTTTAACAATGGTTGAATATGACAATGACTCTTAAAACTCCTAAATAGTTCCAGCACCAGCTCCTGCCAGTCACTGGGTACAGCCCCAGCCCCAGACCCAGCCCAGGACTCTGACCTTGACCCACAGGCTCCTGCACTTACCCATAAGACCACCAGGGGGCGGGGCAGCCTTGTGGTCCCATTGGGGACCTGGCACCAGGGTGGCCTCACCTTGTGGGGATCAGCTGACGTGAAGCTGTTGCACTCCAGGAAGAAAGGGGACTCGGGGAGCAGCTCATACAGGAACACGCGGGTGTCGCCCTTTGGGGAAGAAGGCAGGCCAGGGACCCTCCAGCAACACCAGCCTTCTTCCCACTGCTTCTCACCCGCCGCCCCACCCTCCAGCCCAGCCCACCTTGCCAGTCAGAAGCACCAGGCCCGTGTCTGAGTCATAGCTAGGCAGCAGGGTTGAGGGAGCCACATCCAGGCCCAGCACTGCCAAGGGGCCACCAGCCAGGCTTTCAGCTTCATATAGGAGCATCTGGCGCTCACTTCGGCTGCAGGGAGGTTTGGGGACAGAAGCAGGTGTTCAGAGCTGGAAGGGGCTGGGGCAGGACAAAGACTCCCACACGGCCCCTGCTCCATTCTGGGTTGCAGGCGAGGCCTAGCGTGGCCCTCAGAAGCACTGGCCCAGCCAGGCGTAGTCACACCCTAACCTGCCCCTCTGCTTCTGGGTCCCCTGCTGACTCTCTCCCCAACTCCTCACCCACCCATCCATCTCCCTCAGACCCCCTCATGCACTCCTGCATCTATGTCCCCCACCCCCTCACCCACCCCTCCATCCATCTCCCAGAGACCCCCTTACCACCCCCTCACCCACACCTGCATCCATTTTCCCCAGGCCCCCTCATCCACCCTTGCAACTATCTCCCCCCACCCCCTCACCCACCCCTCTATCCATCTCCCTCAGACCCCCTCACCCACCGCTCCATCCATCTCCCCCCACCCCCTCACCCACCCCTGCATCTATCTTCCTCCATCCCCTCGCCCACCCTTGCATCCATCTCTCCCACCCCCTTACCCACCCCTCTATCCATCTCCTTCAGACCCCTTACCCACCCCTCCATCCATCTCTCCCCACCCCCTCCCCTGCATCTATCTTCCCCCACCCCCACCCCTGCATCCATCTCCCCCCACCTAGTTTTAGAGACCCCCTTACCACCCCCCCACCCACGCCTACATACATCTCCCCTACCCCCTCACCCACCCCTGCATTCATCTCACACTTACCCCAAAAACACCCCTCCATCCGTCTCCCCTACCCCCTCATTCATCCATCCATCCATTCATCCACCTATCATTCCACTCATCCATCCACCCATCTATCCCCACATTCATTCATCCATCCATCCACCCATTTGCCCACCTATCCATCCACCCATCTACCTATGCATCCAATCATCTACCCACCCACCCAACCATCCAGTGAGGGGCAGGAATGGTTTCTGGAAGCCTGACAAATGTATGTGACTGTGGAGAAGGGGGACACAGGTGGCCGCTGAAGACTGGGGATGAGGGTCCCTGACTCCTCACCTGTCAAAGCCAGACACCAGCAGACAACGACCATCACACACCCAGACAACACGGGCTCCGCGTCCTCCCTCGGGCCCTGGGCCTTCCTGTTGAGATATATCTTGTGACGCCCAGCCAGGCGTCACCTGATCTGAGGCCACTCCCCAACCGGTGTGCTCACCTGCAGGGGCTCAGGGCTTCTCAGCGGCCTGTAAACCCGCACGCGCCCATCCCTGCAGACAGTGGCCAACTGCTGCCCATCAGGACTCCAGGCCAGGCTGAAGATCTGGGAGCAGGAAGGGATGTGAGACACAGTCTCACCTCACTGCGGGCCCCGCCCCTCCTCACTGCTGGCCCCGCCTCTACAGCACTCCTACCTGGTCTCGGTGGCCCTGCAGCTTCAGCCGCTCAACTCCAGCCTGAAGGTCCCAGATGCGAACAGTGAGGTCATAGGAGGACGAGGCCAGCACATCTGCTGCCAGTGGGTGGAAGCGCAGGGAGCAGATCTTCTCCATGTGACCTGGAGGAAGGCAGGGGTGACAGGGAGCCCTGTGGAGACACTGGCCACCCTAGCCCCATTCCAGAGCCTGCCTGACCTGTGAGCACAACCTCGGGTGTGGTGAGCACCTCTTTCAGGCCCTCTGGGGGCACCCGCCAAAGTCGGATCCTGGCGTCCTCACCACCTGCAGAGGACAGATGGGGGCTCATCATTGCTGGGCCCAAGACCGCTGGGCTCCCCATTGCCCATCCAGGACCCAGGAACCAGGACCCTCCCTCAAGCCTGAGCACCCAGCCTCCTTACCCACAGCGAGGCGATGGGGGTCAAAGGGGTCCCAAGCCAGATCAGTCACAGCTGCCCCATTCTGCAGTGTGGGCAGTGCAGTGTCGGGCAGGCGGCCAGGCTTCCGTAGCTGTGGGAGGTGCCCCCACCCCGAGGCCCATCAGTGCCAGGCAGAAGAGCCAGTCCCCAGGGGCTGCAGGCAAGCAGTGTGCCTGGGCCCCCACCTACTGCAGTAGAGGCTCCCACCACTGGATGGTCCAAGCTCTCTGCCCTGACCACCTTGTGCCCAGGTGCCAACCACAAGGCCCCAGAGAGTGAGGGGGCAGTAGCGTGAACAGGTGGGAAAAGCTCAGGCTTGGGGCTCAGGTGGCCTGGCTTTGGATCCCAGCTCCACCACTTACACAGCTGTGTGACCTGGATAGGTCACTAAACCTCTCTGGACCTCTTCTCCCTTATCTGTAAAATGGGGATAAAAGTGGCAGGCCCCACGGTGGGTGGCTGGGAGGACGATAGGACAGGCTGGCAGGGGCCTGACACACAGTTCGTGCTCCCTGTGCCGTGTGTGTGGCCAAGACCTCTGCATTCTTGCCACTGGCAGGGAACTGAGGGGCAGCCCTGGGGGGCAGGACCCTCACCTCAAGCACAGCCACCTGTCCCCCGCTGCTGAGCAGGGGCACGGCCACACGCAGTTTGTTGGCACAGAAGCCATCACATTCACCAGGTATGGTGAGGTTAAGCCCCTTGAGGTTGGTGATGTGGCTGTCTCGGTGCAGGACGGTGCCCTGAGCATGGCGGAACTTGGAACTGGGGCCTGGCGGGTAGCAGGGACATGGAACCACGTGTGAGGATGCTGTCCCTGCCCACCCTGCACTCTGAAAACCCGCTCCCCTCACCCTGGGCAGGTGCACAGCGTGAACCTAGGCCCAGGCCTCTGTTAATTCAGTGGATGCAACTCGCCCAGCAATAATGTCTGGAACAAGACCCTGTTCCCTGATGGCTCTGAGGAATCTCGGTGGAGCCCCTGGGTTCCAGCTGCCGGTGGTCCAGGTCACCTTCCTGTTTTACAGGTGAGACTCAAGAGCCACACCCCAGCCCCCAGGACAAATGACTCTGCCAGGAGCTGTGAGTCTGTGTGATGGGGGGTGCCCTGCATGAGGCCTCTGCTCAGGGGTAGGGTACAGAGGAGGGTACAGGGGTAGGGTACAGAGGAGTGGGGCAGACAGGGCTCCCAAGGTAGGGGTGAGCTTGTCCTCCTCCCTTACCCAGCAGGCTCTGCAGCGACCTCAGACTGGGGCTGGTCCCGATGCCACTGGTGCTGGAGAGCGAAGGCCCCAGGCTGGAGGGCGTGGAGGGCGAGGTCAGCGAACTGGGAGGGGAGGAGAAGTCCTCCTGGGGAGGGGCATGGGGTCAGCCAGCCCATTCCTAGGTGTGCTGGCCAAAGAGAGGGAGCACCAGCCGACTCCAGGGTCACCACTCTGGGCCCCCTGTGGACTGAAGGAGCCTCCACTGTGGGCATGGAACAGGAGCAGTGGGGGGCACGGGCATAAATGCAGATGCTGCCAGTGCTGGGGTAACACATGGGGAAGCAGCTGAGCTTCAGACCTTGGGGACAGCAAGTGGCAGCTGCTGGCTCCCGGCCCTGTGGGAGGGTGTGCCCAGTGGGTTAGATCTGCCAATATTTTCAGGGGAGCCAGAAATCTAGATCTCTTTGAGAATTCTTGCTTTTTAAGTGTTTGCCCAATTTAGAAAGCACTGTGAAGTTCCTTCTTTATGCTCCACGTGTTTCTCAGTCTCTGCTACACTTTACAATCAAAGAAGGTTGGGGCTGGGCACAGTTGCTCAAGACTCTAATTCCAGCAGTTTGGGAGGCCAAGGACAGCAGATCATTTGAGGTCAGGAATTAGAAACCTGGCCAACATGGTGAAACCACTTCTCTGATAAAGATACAAAAAATCAATCGGACAGGCGTGGTAGCTCATGCCTGTAATCCAAGCACTTTGGAGGCCAAGGCGGGTGGATCACCTGAGGTCAGGAGTTCAAGACCAGCCTGACCAACATGGTGAAACCCTGTCTTTAAAAAAAAAAAAAAAAAATTAGCAGGGTATGGTGGTGTGCGCCTGTAATCCCAGCTGCTCGAGAAGCTGAGGCAAGAGAAGTACTTGAACCCTGGAGGCGGAGGTTGCAGTGAGCCGATATCGTACCATTGCACTCCAGCCTGGGAGACAGGGTGAGATTCCATCTCAAAAAAAAAAAAAAAAAAAGACTGGGCAAGGTGGCTCATGCCTGTAATCCCAGCACTTTGGGAGGTGGCTGAGGTGGGTGGATCACCTGAGATCAGGAGTTCAAGACCAGCCTGACCAACATGGTGAAACCCTGTCTCTTCTACAAATACAAAAATGAGCTGGGCATGGTGGTGGGTGCCTGTAATCTCAGCTGCTCAGGAGGTTGAAGTAGGAGAATGACTTGAACCTGGGAGGCAGAGGTTGCAACGAGCCAAGATTATACCATTGCATTCTAGCCTAGGCAATAAGGGCAAAACTCCTCTCAAAGAAAACCCGCAAAAATTCGCCGGGTATGGTGGTGCATGCCTATAATCCTAACTACTCAGGAGGCTGAGGCAGAAGAATCACTTGAACCCAGGAAGAGGAAGTTGCAGTAAGCTGAGATCATGCAAATGCCACTCCAGCCAGAGCAAGAGAACAAGACTCTGTCTCAAAAAAAAAAAAAGGCTGTTGGACCGGTAAACATGCAGGGCAGCCATTGTGGTGTCGCCAAGGTAGGATGGGGGCGGCCCTGGTACTTACGGTTGGGTCTGTATCGCCCACGGGTGTCTTCGTCACTGCAGGCTGGGTTGTGTCAGGGACAGGCTCCATAGGGGGCACCAGACTGGAAGTGAAGCTGGGGTGGGGCCGGCAGGCAGGGTTGAGGCTGACCTTCTGCACCTGCAGGGGGGCCAGCAGTGGGCGATGGGGACATGGGCTGCCTGGTCAGGAGGGACCCCATGGAAGGGTCAAATGGGTGGGGACAGGGGAGCACCCAGCAGGCCAGGCTGAGTTAGTACACAGCCAGACAGGGGGCTCCCAGGGGCTGGAGGAGGCCAGGAGAGGTGATAGGCTCTGGACCCACCTGCCGGTTGTCCCCAGCCCACCAGCTGTGGGGGTCAGAGGCAGGTACACAGCTGGCGGTGTCCGGGAACAGGTCCTCATGGAACTCCACAGCCTGGCCACAGACAAGCAGGCAGTCAGTAAAGCCCAGGCCCCCTTACTCCCCAGTCCCCTCAGCCCCTCACCCAGGTCCCCCTCACCTTGCGGGGCACATGGTAGCTGATTGGCACGATGGCTGTGTCGCTCAGCTGCAGGACGCGGAGTACCTCGCAGCTCATGACGGCCAGCACCTGCCGGGGCACCAGGGTGGCCCCCCGAAGCACACTCTCCAGGACACACTGGGTCACTGTTGAGGATACCACAGGGGGACAGGCAGGACAGATGGAGGAGTGGAGGGTAGGGGAGAGGGGGTGAGGAAGCAAGGCTTACCTGGGCTCAGCACCGGCTGCTGCAGGACCACCTCGTAACAGTACAGCTGCTTCTCGCCCTGAAATGAGTCTGAACTGAGCCCTGTTTGCTGACTGCACTCCTGGGGAGGGCCCAGGGCTGGAACCAGCTCCCCCAAGAACCTGAGCCACAGAACCACAGTGGCTGGCGATGGGGCCGCCTCACATGCTCGGTGCTAAACTGAGCCCTGGGCCAACTCTACGTCACTTGCTCAGCCTCACTGCGCATGGGGTGAGCACTGGGGGCGTACGTCAGAATTTACGGAGTACTGACTGTGTGCTCAGCCCGTTCTATTCTCGGTCTTGTTCTCAGGAAGGCCCCTGTTCTAGGAGAGCTGTAGTCACCTTGGCTGCACGGGGAGACACAGAAGCCCTGTCCTAGTTCCTCCTCTCTCTCAGGGAAGGCCAGGGGCTGGACTTCAGGGTGTGGATGCCGGTGGGAGCCCCAGCTTCTCACTCACCTTTCCTGCCAGGACCAGTAGCCCAGAGTCAGGGTCCAGCAGGGGCAAGAGACACCTGAGGGAGAGAGGGCAGGATGGCGGGTCAGGGCAGTGGGAGGGCAGCCAGCCTCGTGACCCCAGGTGGGAGCCCCGGAGAGGCGCCACAGTAACCGGGAGCCACTTGGCCATCCAGCCACATTCAGCCTGGTCCCCAGGAACCCTCTCCTTTTCTGAGCTTCCTACATGCCCCACACACCCACACCCCAGCTGCTCCTCCCTAGGCCCTCTACCTGCACACCTGCATCAGGAACCCCCTCCTCTTCCTGAGCTTCCCACATGCCCAGCAAACGCCCACACCCCAGTTGCTCCTCTCAGGCCTCCACCTGCACACCTGCGTCACTCCAGGATTCAGCTAGGCCTGGGCACAGGGGAGCTCAGGGCCCAATCTCAGCCCCAGCTCTTCCTCCAAGAAGACCCCAGGTGCATTCTGTTCCCTTCCCACTTCTGACAGCCTAGACATCAGGCCAGCATTACCAGGAAAGGTGGAGAGGGGATGCCAGATGCAAGGAGCCCCCATTTCACTCAGCACTGCCTGTGGACAGGTAGTGTCTAGGAGCAGTGCAGCCAGCCCTGCCACTCCGGATCTGCACTAAGGTTTGGGGCCCTCTACTCGATTACCCCACCCTCCCTGGGACTCGATGATATCTTGGAGGCTCAGAGCCCCCTCCATGCTGACTTCAAGTTCCTGTGCCCAAATCAGAGCCAGGTGCCTGGGAGAAGGAGCTCCTTCGGCTGCTGGGCCTCCCTGCCCTCCTCAGGCCGTAGCCCTGCTGAGCCTGCTGGCAGGATGCTCCCAGGCCCTCAATGGTCTCAAAGGGGTAGCAGAACGGGGTGGCAGTTGGGAACAGAGTCAGCAGACTGGGAGCCCCTGCCACCCTATGCCCAGCTCAGCCTTGGCCAACTGCCCAGGGCTTTATGCCTCCCTCCAAGGGCCTTTCGGAGACCCCTGCACAGCCCCTCCACCCTGTGAGAGCTGCCTTCCCACTCCAGGGCCTTTTGAAGGGAGTGGGGGCCTGGGAGAACTCTTGGCAGATACCTTCCTGTGTTTCTCGATCCTGATCTTTGCTGCTGTTTTTTTTTTTTTTTTTTTTTTTTTTTTTAGAGACAGGGTCTCCCTCTGTCACCCAGGCTGGAGTGCAGTGGCACAATCATTGCTCTCTGCAGCCTCAGCCTCCTGGGCTCAAGTGATCCTCCCACTCAGACTCCAGAGTGGCTGGGACTACAGGTGCACACCACCATGCCTGGCTATTTTTACTTTTATTAATTAATTAATTAATTAATTAATGTATTTATTTTTGAGACAGAGTCTCACTTGGTCACCCAAGCTAGAGTGCAATGGCAGTCTCAGCTCACTGCAACCTCCACCTCCCGGGTTTAAGTGAGTCTCCTGCCTCAGCCTCCCAAGTAGCTGGGAATACAGGAACTGGCCACCAACAATTTTTTTGTATTTTTAGTAGAGATGGGGTTTCTCAAACTCCTGACCTTGTGATCCGCCCACCTTGGCCTCCCAAAGTGCTGGGATTACAGGTGTGAGCCACCGTGCCCAGGCTTTTACTTTCATTTTTGTAGGAACAGGGTCTTAGTATGTTGCCGAGGCTGGTCTCAAACTCCTGGCCTGAAGTGATCTTCCCACCTTAGCCTCCCAAAGCGCTAGGATTACAGGCATGAGCCACTGCACTTGGTCTTGGTATCTTGTTTCCGGGATCTGCAGACAGGGATTCCCCCAACCCAGACACTGACACCCTCAAATAGAACCCCATCCCCACTGTGTTGCCAGGGTCAGAAGTCTCCCAGCTGTGGCAGCCTCTATCCCTCACCCCAGTGACAAAGGGCCCAGGCCCCCTCCACTGTTGACCCTCCCACCAGCTGGCCACTAAGCAGTCCTGCCCACCTCTCCTCCCCACTCTGCCAGGAGCCACAGAATGGCTGGGAAGCTGGGTGGGGTCCTGGGTGTCTCCATGACTTCCTGGAGTGCCTTGGGCTGGTCACCTGTGAGTAACACAGGCCCCTAATTACTGCGGGCCCAGCAGGGCTGAGCTGGGCTCAGCAATGCCCTTTGCAACCTGGCCTGACCACTGCCTGTGGTGACAGAGGCAGAGGGTCGGACACCAAGGTGTGCGTGACCTGAGGTGGCCTCCACATGGACACCGGCTCCAGTGGGGCTGGAAACAAGTCCCCTTCAGCAGCTTTAACAGGGCTTTCACTCACTCATTCATTCATTCACAATCATTCATTCCTTTGATGAGGTGGTCTGTGCCTGGTCCTCGGCTCGACCTGCATGCAGGTATATCCAGAGGTGAGTCCAACAGACCCTGCCTCTGTCCTCAAGGTGCTCACAGCCTAGCACAAGAGGCAGACAGACACAATCCCATAGACAAACATGTGAAGGGAAGGCTCACCGAGGGCACGCAATGATGGGGCAGGGGGACTGGGCCTCAACTGTGAGGGAGGGGTTGTTCCCTCCAATCCCAAGGTCATGCAAAAATCAAATACCTCACAGGGAGAGAGTTTCAGAGAAAGTACAGCCTGTGCAAAGGTCCTGTGGCAGGTGGGTTTATGGCCTATCCGAGGAACAAGATGGGTGATGTGTCTGGCAGCCTGGACAGTGCGGGTGAGGGCTGAGGCTCAGGATGGGCAGTTGGGGGCTAGATGGAAGGGCTGGTGCATATCAGGAGGGGACTTCTGTCTCTAGTGGATGAGCAACAAAAAGGTAGCAGTGTGTTTCAAGCAAAAGAGGCTATGCCAGGCACAGTGGCTCATGTCTGTGATCCCAGCACTTTGAGAGGCCAAGGTGGGAGGATCATTGAGCCCAGTAGGTCAACACTGACCAGCCTGGGGAACATCGTGAGACCCTGGCTCTTCAAAAAATTAAAAATTAAAAAAGCCAGGCATGCTGGCTCATACCTGTAATCTCAGCACTCTGGGAGCTGAGGTGGGTAAATCACTTGAGGTGAGGAGTTTGAGATCAGTCAGGCCAACATGGTGAAACCCTGTCTCTACTAAAAATACAAAAATTGGCCATGTGTGGTGGTGCGTACCTGTAGTCCCAGCTACTTGGGAGGCTGAGGCAGGAGAATTGCTTGAACCCAGGAGGTGATGCAGTGATCTGAGACTGCGCCACTACATTTCAGCCTGGGTGACAGAGTAAGACTCCATCTCAAAAACAAAAAACAACAACAACAAAAAAAACAATAAAGAAAAAAAGATCACATCACCCTGCTCCAGCCTGGCCAACAGAGCAAGACCTTGTCTCAAAAAATAAAAATAGGGCTGGGCGCGGTGGCTCAAGCCTGTAATCCCAGCACTTTGGGAGGCCGAGGCGGGTGGATCACGAGGTCAAGAGATCGAGACCATCTCAGTCAACATAGTGAAACCCTGTCTCTACTAAAAAATACAAAAAATTAGCTGGGCATGGTGGCATGTGTCTGTAATCCCAGCTACTCAGGAGGTTGAGGCAGGAGAATTGCCTGAACCCAGGAGGCAGAGGTTGCGGTGAGCCGAGATCCCGCCATTGCACTCCAGCCTGGGTAACAAGAGCGAAACTCTGTCTCAAAAAAAAAAAAAAAAAGAAAGAAAGAGGAGGATAGGACCAGACTGGCATTGAGCAGGGATCACACTGCTGGGTACACAGGTTGGGAGGAGTGGAAACAGGTCTCAGGACAGAAGCTGAGGGCAAGTGGCCGGGGCAGGGCTCCCATGGCCCCTCAGCTGTCCTTATGAGAGGTGGGAAAGAGGCCCGGGTCCTCCTCATGGCATCAGAGGCTCACCTATGTGCTCAGCCAACTGCCTGAGGAAGACTGGCACTCAGCCTCCCTCACCCCCGTCCCATCGACCTAGCCAGCCAGCCACTGACTCAGGAGCTGCGGCTGAGGGGCAGGAAGTCCGGGAGGGCAGGGCTGGCTCCTCCGACAGGTCAGGCCAGTCTTTCTTACCTCAAGTCTTTCTCACCTGGACAACTCTGCCAGGCAGGAGCATCCTGCCTCCTGTGGCACGGGCCAATAAATGGGGTCATGGCACCCAGCCCTAAAGGTTGGCCAAGCACTGGCATGAGCCTGACCCCCAGGCCTTATAAAGAGAGCCAAGTTGGGGGCTGGGCACCATGGCTTATGCCTGTAATCCCAGCACTTTGGGAGGCCGAAGTGGGCAAATCATGAGGTCAGGGGTTCGATACCAGCCTGGACAACATGGTGAAACCATGTCTCTACTATAAATACAAAAAATTAGCTGGGCGTAGTGGCAGGCACCTGTAATCCCAGCTACTTGGGAGACTGAGACAGGAGAATCACTTGAACCCAGGAGGCAGATGTTTCTGCGAGCTGAGATCGTACCACTGCACTCCAACCCGAGCAACAGAGAAAACAACAAATAAAGAGAGCCAAGCTGGGTCTGGGTCTGGAACAGGTATGTGAGCCCCAGCCAGGCAGAGGGCAAGAAGTGGTAAGAGGTGTTGCCAGCACCTCTCCTGCTGGAATCTGGGCCTGCCACTGGGAAGGGCTCTGACGCTGACCCAGGTCTAGGGGTCTGTCCCAGGCATAAAGTTATAGAAGGTCGAGAGCCCAGATCTGTCCCCACTCCTCAGCCAGGTCCCAGGAGCTAGAAGACAACCTCAGTACCAACTGGAAGGTAGAAGCAGTTTCAGCCTCCAGATAAGCCCTATCAGCTCTCTGATTAGCACAGAGGGGAAGCAACAAGGGTGTGTTGCTGCAATGAGCAGCTGCAAGCCTCCTCCTTTGTCTTCCCCTCCAGCCCATCTCTCCCCATCAGGCCCCTTCCTACCAACCCAGACATTCTGCCATTGCCCCAGTCCAAAGCAGTCTGGGTCCCTTGGATCTGTCCCTGTCACCCAGCCTGGGGAGTTAGGATCCTTGGATCCCCACCCCCACACTCCCTAGCTCCCCCGCTGTATGTGGGCTGCTGGTAACCACGTTCTAAAGGCAGGTGGCGCCTTGAAACCATACGAGGCAATATTGGAGAAACTGAGAGGGGTCTCCTAGAAGCTTCCCTTGAGGCTCTGGG